TTTTCCTGCTGAAATACTGAAAATATGGAGTGGCAAATATAAATCTTTGCATAGAATCCAAAGGAAAAATAAAAAGTTGTGTATTGCCAGTATTTAAGATTCTTTTAATAATGTTGCTTCAACAAAATTACACATATCCTCAGAATGATTAAGGTGGTCTCGTTGCACTGACACCTTGGTGGTTTGGTGATGACTTCTGGAGTGTTGGTCTTTGAAAAACCTCCATAAGTGTTTTCATTAGGAGCATTTAAATAAGTGGCCCTTTCACAGATTAATGGCTGGTTTTGCTTCCAGGCCATGTGAGCAGGGACATTTCTAACCTGAGTTGCTGCTGGTGAGTTTTACTGATGGAGCTATGCTGTGAGTACAGTGCTGCTGGGTTTGGGATCACACCAGGGCAGTTGGAGGAGTCCTTGCACCATCACCCTTTGTGGCCTTGGGCCTGTGTTATGCCAGACAATTTTCGAATGTCTCTTCACATGAAAACATTTCCTGCAGATATACTTGATGAAAGCTGCAAAGAACACTGAGAGCAGATAGAAATGTAATTAAGTCAATCTGAAGCTCAGATTTGTGGCCACCTCTTTCCTCCCATGCCCAGCTCCCCCTGGGTTTGAGAGATGGTTGTTCCATACATCTCATGTGAAGCTTGCAGAATGACCCTGGAGTAAGAGTACAAGTCTGGCTGTATTCAGCTTTGTTCAGGGCCAGTCTTTTCCAGAGAGTGTTTTACCTGGTGGACTGTGCTCTTGTGAGAACTCACCCACTCACTGAGTGTGTGGAGAGGAGAGCTGGCATTCAGTCTGGTCACACTGGTGAAATAACTGCTCTGAAGATCTTGCATAGGATCTGATCCAAACTTCGCTGGGGTCAGTATCAACCTTGAGCCTGGTGACTCAGGAGCAGAGCAGGAAACCCATCCATTGGACTGTTATAGGAGATCCACAGAGTTTGTATAGACTCATTTAAAGTGAACAGTTCTCTCTGCTGAGTAATTCTGCTGGCTGGAAGGCAGGGTAAGAGGAGTTTGGGCTCTGTGAGGGGCCAAGGCATGGTGGTGGTAGCAACATCAAATACATCATCTGAACCTGCAAATTTCTAGCTCTCCTTTCCCTCCCTGAGTCTGGGTGTTGAGTAACAGGAGGGAGGGTTGGATGCAACATTCCTTCTCTGAATGGCTACAGGGAGAGGCTCTCCAGAGTGAGTCTCAGCTGCTCTGCAGCTTTCCTGTAGCTGGGGACCAGCTTTCCTGCTGTCAGGATTAATCTGTGCTTTCTGAACTGATCATGGTGACACTGACCTGAAAAGGGTAGTTTCTTAGGGAGAGAAATCACCCTTCCCTCCTGCCTTGTCATTCTGATAAGAAAAAAAAGGCAAACCAAATTTCTGTTATTATTCATCAAAACTGTCCCATTCAACTTAGTATGTTGAACTTGGTTTCTAGTGTTGTGTTAAGGAATTTTGTCCTTGGCTTTCTAGTATTCCCTTCTGCAGGGGAGAGGAGCACTGGGAGTTGTGCTGTGGTGTGCTGGTTTTTCTGACTTTGGCTCTGAGCCGGAGAGTGAAAAGACAAGCAGCAAAATTGTTAGAAAAAAATACATCAGACTTCAAAAACAGGATTTTAATCCTTTTTCCTCTCATTTGAGGCTATTTATTTAACCGAACCTTTTGCCCAATTTTAGCTTTTCCATATGGCATTTATTATATTTTTTCTGGTTTTTGACTGGAAAAGTACCTTTTGGAACTTAAGCAAACACTAGTTGGCAGCTCCCTGAGCTGCCTGATTGTCAGGGCATAGTGTGGACCTCTGTCCCAGCTCACTGCACAGTGTGTCAGCAGAAGACAGCAGTGAGTTTTTTTTCATCTTTCAGAAAATTGTCAGCTTAAGCATTTTTCTTTTTTCCCTGGTCCATGGGAATTTTCTGTGCCTGACTATAAATTTGAATCAGAAAATGTAGAAGCTTGAATCCTGTCCCAGTGCTTTTAAGAAGGAGCCTGTACAGAGCAGATCTGTACAGGCTTCAGTTTTCACAGCTGTGCTCTGTTGTTTGGATTAGAATTAGAAGGAAGGATATTTTGAAAATTTTATGTCTGCCCTCTTGATAGTGTGGCTGAAAGGGTCTATTGAGCTTGGTTCTGTGTGTTTGAGAAAATCCTGATAGTAAAGACAGCTTTGGTGCCTCCTGCTAGAACGAACTGCTGGAGGGATGTGCAGTGATCCTGAAGAGTGCTGGGTGCTTGCTTTTTCTCGTAGATAACAAAGAAAAAACCCATCAGTAATTTCGGAGACACCCAAAGCCCTGAGATCCCCCAGCCAAGGACAAGGCAAAAGGGACTGAGCTGGGTTCAGGTTCACCCTTTGGGAACTGTGCATCTGTGGCCCTGCTCCCCTCAGGCTGTGCTGTGCTGCCATGGGCAGTGCTGCTGTTGGGATACATGGTAGGGATGATGGGGGAGGTGGAACCCTCTCTGTCACATTCTTGTTGATGGAGCATCAGTGCTGAAGACTGCAGAAGGGATGTTACTTTCTATGAGATTGGACCGTTCACTTTGATAAACGAGTGTTAAATCACTCAGATTTATGCATGCAGCCTTGTTTTCTGTGTAGGGATTGGCCTTTGAATCCGTTAACTTTTATCTTGCCATTTTAGATGGCAATGTAACTTTTCTGTGGTTTATAAGGAATGTTAAGAAGCATTTGTTTGTGACTGACTTTTGTTTTGATCTGGTGTTTAGAGCCTGAAGCTTGGTGCTGGGACATGTAACATTTTCAAAGGGCAATGTTTTAATCTTGTACCTCTGAAATACAGAGTTGCTGTGGAAGGAGGAGTTGAACAATTTGAAAGGTTACAGAAGCACAGGTAGGTTCTGCTGTTGCCTTTTCCCACCGATGGGTGGGAAATAGTTTTTTTTTCTTGTAGCTTTTGAGTGATGTGTGACTCCTTGCACCTGCTCTTCACAGTCCTGCAGCTTCTGGCTTGGGAGCAGGACACAGAGTTCCCAGGACTTAACCCGCTGTGAAGAATTGGGATTTTTTTCCTCGGTGGCCATCACGCACAGAATTCAGATCATTTCCTTGGGAGTGTCCAGTGGGAAGTGGGGCTGCCAGGTGTGGGAAACAGCCCTGTCAGAAATACCAGTCTTGCTGCAGGGTCTGCCAAGGCACTAGGCAGCCTGTCTGGGCATTATGGCCAGCCTGAAACCCATCTCTAAATGAATGAGATTACTGCCTTTTGTAATCAAGGGTAGTGAAAAGCCCTGGAACTTCAAGACAATCAAAAATATTCACTTATTCTAGTAATAAATTCTAGATAGTTTTTAATAATTCTTTTCCTGAAGCCATTCTCCCCATCCTGCTCACATTTAAAATGCTGACAAAGTGTCAGGCTGCAGAAGTGGCAGAGCTCATCTCCCCTAAGGAAAAGTCACATTTGAAGAGATGCTGAGCTGCAAGTGTGAGCTGAAATGAATCATGGACAGATTTTCAACTGGAAAGAGACATTCAGAGCTGCAGCTTAGGGTTTTCACCCCTGTATCTGGACAAGCTCGAGAGGTTTTCTGAGCCTGGGGCTGTGCTCCAGCAAGGCAGAGCAGGGTCCAGCTCTATGGGGCACTGAGGTCTGTATAGATTAAGGTATCTACATGCCTTTGTCAGAAAGACAGAATGTAGGGAGGCTTTGGATGAAGCTGAGTGCTATATAGAGCTGTATATGAAGTTAAGTGATGTAGAGCTTCTGAGTGCAGGACGAGCAGATCATCAGCTGGGGACTTGAGAGGTCTGTGAGCAGCCTGGCATGGCCCAAGAGCCGTATCTGCAGAAACCTTGCACTGAAATAGCTCACTTCTGGTTGGTTTAAATTACTTTCAGAGTGTATTTGTATTGCTTTTTTTCATGTTGAGTTTTTTATTTCTCTGTATCAGAAGTTATTCATGCTGTTTACATGATATTTGAAAATGAGCCAGCTGCAGTGGGTGGCATTGACCAGGGAAATGCCCATACATTGTTTAAGTTTACTGCACTGGTTCTGAAAGTAACAGCCTGACCTTTCATTCCTCTGTTATGGTCTGAGGGTGTTCTTACGTGGATGTGGAGCTTCCCAAGATAAACAGAGTGAATGTGGTTTGGCATTTAAATCACTAATGTCATATCAAGCTACAGAGTTTCAGAAGCCATTAATGTCTGCAAGAGATGTTATTTTGTTCACTTGGGGATAAACTTTGACCCATCTATATGTGGGATTTGGTCCAAATTCAGATTTTGAGAATGTTGGTATAAATCTAAGTGCCAATACTAATGCCAGTGGAGTTACCCTATGTTTCTTTAATTATGACTGAGAAGAAACTTCATGTGTTTTTTACAAGTCCAAATTTTACTTGATTTTTTTTTTTTTTTAGGAGTAGCTATATGAGACAAGACTTAATGTCTAAGAGAGCTGAATTAAATGTTTCTGTGTGTCTCTTTTTGGAAAGTGTGTGCTGTTGAGGTCATCCTGGACCAGGCCCTAATGCTGTTTGGATCAGGGGCTGCTCTGTATGTGCCAGAGGAACGTCTGTCACGCAGCGAGCGCGCCGCCCTCTCGCTTGGGGCTGGGGGAAAACTGCTTTGCAGAATATAATGGAAGTGTTAATAAGCCTCACAGTCACCCAGTTCCTCCCCTCTGTGGGGGGAGAAAGGGAGTGTGGGTCCCTCAGAGAAGGGTGGGAGCCGAGCACTGCCTGTCAGTGGGCTCAGAGCATCACCAGCCCTGGTGCTCCATGGTGGCTGCAACTGCCTCCCAGCTCAGCCAGGAGCCTGACACACCTCCACAGCCTCAGGAAATATTTTCTGTTTTCAGCCAAAACCTGTATTTCTTATTTGTGATTCCAATCTATTTCTGAGATCTTTTCTTACTTACACATTTTGTTGTGAAAACGTCATGTATTTGTTTCTTCAAAGGGTGAAAAATGCCCACTTTGCTTTTTATTTTTTTTCAACATTTCTCAGGAACAAACAAATGGTTCTTATCCAGCAGCCATCATTACAAAACTGAAGTTAAATACCAGTCTCCCTCGTCCTGGGAAAAGAAAGCATCGTTTTCAAAATGTTCTTACTCTCAAATCCATACATGTGCAGTCATATTCGTCTTCGTTTCCCAAAAACTTATCTGTCTGTTTTAATTTTTCTTTTTCTTAATTTTTAAACACTTGTCTGGGAGGTTTTTAAATCTGGTCTTCACTGAGCTGTGTAACTTGGTGTTTGCTTTAAAATGACCTTATATTGCCATGCCAGTGCCATATATGACTTCCCATGTTGGTTGTAAAGTAATGTGAGTTTGAGGAGTTCTAGATAACAGTGCAAGTCACTGCTTTCAACTGCAGCTGTGCTGCAGAGCCCTCAGTGCAGAGTGGTTTTGGCTGTGCAACACATTTTCCACAAAAGTTAGTCTTTGTAGTATCTCAGTTAGTAGGTCTCATCAGGCAGCAGTAGTTTTATTTAAGATAAAGTTTTATTAAAGCCCTTGAATTGGAACTCTCTGGCTGAAGGAGCAGGTAAGGTTCCCTTTGCAATGCCAGTGGGATGGACTGGCTTTGGGGGGAACAGAGATGTTGGGAGCTCTCCAAGGGACTTGGGGACTATTCTCTAACAGGAACAAACTGACACAGCACAATTTGTCTGTCTATTGGAGATGGGCAGGAATGACTTTCAAGCATATAATCACCTCCTAAATGTAATCTGTTTTTCCACCACCAAGAAGATGGTTTCAGTGCCAGCAATGCCAAGGTGACTGGATCCTGTGTGCTGTATGGTGACATTCCCCTGAACAGGGAACAGAGCAGCCTGCACCAGAGTAACACCTCTTGCTTTGCCTGGGTGTTCCATGATACTTGGCATTGTTGTTGCACTCTTTGGCCTTTCTAATTCTTCCTGAGTATGGATATAAGCTGGGAGCAGAGATGGTAAAGTCCAGATCTGCAGTGGAACAGGGAGTTGAGCTGGCAGTGCACACCATTCTACAGAAATATGCTGTAATCTTGTTCTCTGTAAGTTCTCAGGTGTGCAGTAGTTTGTACAGAGTGTGGAGGCAGGGACTGAGACACTCAGACACTCAGAGCCTGCCTTGATAGATCTGGTCAGGACCTAAGGGGCTCCATAGTGAGGGTTTGTGCCATAAACACTGTGTGGTGACTTGCTGCCTTACTGCACGCTGCCTAAAGATCCAGAGTTTGCTTTAGGAAATACATAATGCTGTTCTGCTTTATACACCTGGAGGTCAAAAGGGAATGTGTTTTTTCTAGCTAATCATCGTCTCTTGCCAGCTAATTGTAAGTAAAATAAAAAGAGAAAGCATGGAGTCTGGCCAGTGCTTACTAATGTCTGAACCAACAAGTCTGAGGTGGTGTTACTTTTCTGGCTTGACTTTGTTGAACTTCCGTGGGAGTTTGAAGTTTTACTCTGAGAAGCTTATCTTCACTTTCACTGTGTTGTTGTTCTTTATGGTTTATTTTGATTTTTTTTTCTTTTTCCGAAAACTAGTGGGTCAATATAGAGAATTACTTTGAACAGTGGGTGTGAGATGGCTAAAAAGAATAATGATTTTTGCTACCAGTGCTTAGATACTCCATGTAAGTTAGACCCAAGTAAAGGGTCTGATGGGTAGGGTATCCTCATTTGGATCTGACCCAGGATCAGCACGGCTCTTTGGATGTTGGGGAGGCTGCCCACTCCTGCTGTGTGATTGAGCAGTTTCTTGATTTTCTCCCTTGACTGTTTTGTCCTCTTCTCCTAGAGCAGCCAAGCCTTGGATGCTGTGTGTCCATTTGCTGAGATGCTATATGGACAAATGCTGAGTCCTTGCCTTGGGAGCTGAAGAATTACAAGGGGAGCAAAATGATTTCAGTTTCCAACGTCCACAATTCCATTAATATCTTCTTAACCCTGTGTTAATGCTTAACAGCATGTGGTGACTAGTATAAATATTTGTTCTTGGTATGTAGCTAGCAAATATGTGGTAGGATTAATGCTGAATTGTTAGTATCCAGTTTTAAGTAAAATCAGTTTGTGAGACTGCTTCCTTTTGTGTTTTGTTGTTTTGTTTTGTTTTTTAATTGGCAAGAAAATCCACGAACAGGGTTCAGATGGCCAGAGCCTCTAGAATCTCATTATCTTAATTGAAAACTGTCACCCTTTGACATTCATAAATGATTTAGCTAGTACATGATTCAGTCACTGGGGAGAAATGGAATTGACTGTTATAACCATCCTTCACTTCTAGATGCTAATGATAAACTACAGCCCACAGCTCTGTAGAATTAATAGCTCTTGGTTTAGAACAATACTTTTGTATACTGGAACATCTCAATTCCATTCTATTTGGTAACATTTTATTCTGGAATACCTTCACTTAGAAAAAAAACTGGAAGGTGCTCAGAGGACATCCTCTAATGTTGTACTTTGGCTTTTTACACCCTGCAGATGTGTTGCCAATGCTCTGCATCTTCGTCTTTAGAAAAAAGTCAAACTGTTTTGTTTATGTTGACCTTTCATCACTCACTGGAGGAAATAAGTTGTTTAGACAATGTGTGGGGATTAGTTGTGTAATGAACTACCACAGTAAACAAGTAATTAATTCTCATCAAAACATATACTGTGCTCTGTGACTGGGTTTTATGGTGTTTTCTGGAAAAGAAAATATTTTTCTGTCTAAAAAGCATTTCCTACCCAGTGACTAGCTTAAAAGAAACAGCTTGAAAATATTTCCTGGCTGGAGAAAAGGATTGGTACATTCAGTTTGCCATTGTGGTTAACATCACTGTGTGTTTTTCTAGTACTTCTTTTCCTCAGTTTTATGTACCTAGTGTTAATAAATATAGGTACAGAAATTACAGTCTGTCTGAGCCAACTGATTTGATCTTTTCATTTGCTAACGCTGCTGCTGGGATTTTGCAAAGGATAATCTGAGGATTCAGGCTTGGCTTTGCTCCTTTTTGAAATCACTGTTAAAATACTGAAAACTTTGCTGCTGGATCAGGGGCCAGGGGGTCATGCCTTTTATTTTTTTTCCCTTTTCTTTTCCAGGAACTAGATCAGTGGGCAAAATACAGCACTAGTGTATTGAAGGAGACAAGTACTTGGTCAGTGTACATATTGGAGCCCTGTGTGTGGGGTGTGCTTTGTGCAATTGCAAGCTGGGGTTTAGCATG